ATCATAACTCCGTTCATATATTCGTATCGTCGATTCCACACCACCAATTACGAAGCCCTTCGTCGTTGCCAAGGCGCATAAGCACGATCTATCACGGAGATAATTCCATAGCGCGCGAAATTTTCCTTCACCTGAGCTCTCCCGGAGCTGTAGAAATAGCTTGTCGAAATTCTCCATTATTTTCGTACACGAATAAGTCACCGCTTTCAGTGCCAACCAAAAGACTGCAAGAGAATGATTTTTTGCGCATGCGTGCAGATTTGTCTCACCTGTCATCGCTGAGCCAAGCTTGACATGTAAAATTAATATTCATATTATTTTCCCCCTCTCTCGATTTACTCGTGGCCACTTGCGCCGACACAGATTTCATCACACCATTCCGACCAATTCTGACAAAAAAAAGATATTCGCGCACTATGAAGAATTTAAATACCGAGATAAATACTGGAAAAAATCGGCTTGAAGACTTTCATCCATATGATAAGCATAAACGCACCCAGAAAATATCTTAGGTTCATCGTATAAAGATACAGAATAGGTCCACAGGTTATATGAAGGACGAAAGATATTTGTGCACTATGAAGATTTTGGATACCAGTTCAGAGTTAATTCGGGGTAGTAGCAAATACTTCCATTCAACCTGGATCGAAGTATCTTAGGTTCATCACTCAAAGATACAAACTTGTGTATCTCAGAAACTACCGATTATATAAATATATTCGCGCACTTTTGAGATTTTACCACAGAGAAGTCGTGTGGAATTAGGAAACCCGCTCATATACAGATCTGAGACAAAACGAATCTCAGAGGAGGACCAAAACAAGTGTATACAAGGAAAATAAACTATCATCACCGGTAGAGAATAGGTCCACAAGAGGTACTCACCGGTAGAGCTTGAATATTCCCTCACCCGTGACTGCCAGAATGCTACTATCTGTGGGGTGACACGCAACCTCATCGACAACCGCAATCGCGTCATCACCAGCCTGAGGAGAATTTCTCATTCGTGAATGTAAAACATTAGAATATGTTTTGACTCTCCTCAACTATTGAGCTCGTGAGTTCTCAAGCTATACTATGGACATTTATGCACGCCTTGAGGTAGAAGTGTACAAAAACCAACGAAAAGCTCCCCAAAATTTTGTTATCCGATTTAGAAAACATTAGATTTTCACCCGTTTTTCATGGAGTGGCGTAATACTCTGCTAAAAACGCGATATTAGCACTTGTAGTAGTCGCGAAAAATATTCCTTACTAGTTTTTTTCATATCACGGATGAAACTTCTATGAAAAACATATTTCATATTTATCGGTCGCGGAAACATACGTTCTATAATGCACGTAGAGTATTACACCACTTCACAATGAACGAGCGAAACCCCAATATTATGAATGAGCACACTGCGAGGATCGAACCCGATACCTCTCGCTTACTGACGGGAACCGCGTCCCCGCGACCACCGAACCTTCTGCAGCCTCTCTGATGGACATTCTCTTGTTTGCTGCCGCTACCGGTGCTGCTATCTGCAAAGAAAACTTTCTTTTTCGATCGACGAAAAAATTCCATGTGTGTTAGCGAATCTCTAAAATCTCAAAAAACATTCACAAATTTCGCGGAAAAACCTTAAAAATCACACAGTCAGAATATTCATGAGCTGAACTCCTCACCTTAGACCATGCAAGTAGTCTCGAGGCACCAACTGGGACTTTATCCAAACGCCAATTTGCAATCCAGGTACCCATCGCGGTAGTAGTAGTAGTGGGAGTGACCGCGACAGTAATGAGAGAATTGCTATCAGATGGAAATGACATTCCAGTGACACAGCCCGAGGTCGACCATGGTGAACGCGGATTAGAAGGATGCTTGGAGGCAGCCTGAAATTGAGGAGGGAGAGAGAACTTTTATGCAACCAATACTGCAACAATCAATTTGGGAAATTTTATGCAACC